TTCAGAAAAAAAAGAAACAGACTCTTGTATGACTAAGAATAACTAGTGAGCTTCCGTATGCTTTAAGGCACAAACTAATGGGCTGGGTGCAATCTCATAACTGTCATCTGGCAAAATGCTCTGTATAATTGGCTTTTTGAATAAAAATAACTGGCCTGGTCTACATGCGTTTAGCCAGTACGTTCCAGTTAATTAGCATCAGGCAGAAATCTCTTTCCTGTCCATATGGAGTTTGGTGGACTACAGGAGGTGGAGATGGTTAAGAGGAGGAAGATGGGGAGGATGTAATTCTTTTTGAGGCTACAGACATAACCCACTGGTCAAAAGAGAGTGTAAAACACAGTTACTCTTTATGGCATGAGAGACCATTAAGGATTTCATCATAAGTTTAAAATGGTTTAACTGTTTCTGAAGCTAGTGATGGTTAGGTTAGTTAGGTTAATACTGATGCTCTAACAGAATCCCATCATTATCGGAAAAAATGTTGGAAAAAAAAAACCTTTACAAATTGTTATTAAAAGAATAACGGTAAAATAGAATAGTAGTAGAATATCTTTGTTCTCTGCACATCTATTTCAAATAAACAGATTTTATTCATTTCTTCAAGGAGCGTTAATTGATAGGGAAAATCAGTTACTGAATGTTATATGAATTTAATTTATTAGCAGATCTCTGTTCAACTCTGTATTTTTGTGATGGATACTGTTTGGCTGCTTGGATCATAACTTGACATCTTCAGTGCCCACAACTAGATTACCTATTGCTGGAAGAACTGAAGCTCCTGTCCTAGTCTAGTAGGATACCAAATATATGTTTCCTGGCTGTTATGCCAAGCAATCTGAGTACTTCAGGTTCAACAGCAACATAAATACTTTTACTGTAAGGAAAAAAGGAAGAAGTGTAAGGAATAGCAGTGACATAATCAGCAAAAGTTAGACCCTGGTAAGTATAAAATAATTTCCCTTTTGTGCGTTTCTTCTCGTACTGGCTGAAGCAGCCTCTCTCCCAGCTGCAGGTCAAAAGCAAAGACAATCCAGCTAAAGAAGTGGTCTGTGAGCAGCATCCCTCTCCTGCTGTTGCCTTTTTCTGGGAGTTTCCGCCCTCCTTGTGACACAAAAGTTACAAAACTGGAAAGGAACAGGCTGCTTAAACCATTCTGTTGGCCTGCAACTTGCTTCTTGATTTCTCTCATGCCTTATTCAGCAGGTCAAAGGCTGAATGAATTGTTCTGGAAAGACACGTACGTTCTTCAGGTTGCTTAACAACAGGCTTAACAAATAATTTGCTGTTAAGTAATTCATATTTGAATTTCTAGATATCTGCTGCTTCATGGTAAAATGCCCAGACTGCTCTTACCCTGCGGCAAAGTTACCGTAGCCCTCTTTAATTCTATCAAATTTTCTTCATTCAAACTGAAAGAGCATTATCGATTTCCTGTAATACATATATATGCACATGGACAATTATGGCACAGCTGTCCAGCCTGTGCAAGCTCATACTTGAGACTTTCCTCATGGTAGTGGGTAAACATAAGACTATATCCTAAAGACTTCTAGAATTCAGAATTAGTATGTCAAAGCCTCCATTAATCTTTTGGGAGACTAGAGCAATCTTTCTCCTTTTTACTGAGTGTCAAAAGCCTTTCTTTAGAATTACACCTTTGATACAGTACTTCTTATATTAGTCATTCACCTTTCTCAGGGCTTTACAAAGCAGCTGCTATTGTTTTCTCTAAGCAAAGAAAATCTCAAGCTGACCTTGGATGACTACCTTCAACGAGAAAATGACTCTGTTTTCATTTGTTTCCTGCCCTAGTATGCTCTCTTTTGACATCTACAAGTTTAGTGATGCCTGGAGGAAACAACAGGTCAGAGCTGGGATTTCTCAAAATTCATTTTATCTGATGATAAAAAATGTTCCTGTGAAGTCTGGCCTATACAAAGACTGCCAGATTTGTTGTACCTATAAAAAAAGGTATAAAAAGAGGGTACACTCTGCAAGAAATGCCATCCTCATGCTGGTAACCACTAGTTAAATCTTTCCGGTAGAGCAAAAGTAGAAGCCCGGTCTTGCCCCAGTCTAGCATGAATTAACTTACAGGTTTTAATCTTGTAAACACTTAACTTACACCATGGCACTGAACTTTTCAATCATGCTTGTTTCCTTATATACAAATATTAATGCAATTAATTACTGAGAAAGCTAAATCTCAAGACTTCTATGGTATGTCAATATTCATGACTCAGACCGACATTATTATTCTTACCTGGTGAATGCTACTTTGCTTCCTACAGCTTTGTTCTCCTTTCAGTCTCCTCTCAAACTATATTACAAAGACAGAACCTCTTGGCAGTTCCTGATGAATGTCTTAATGAGCAAAAAAATTAAATGTGGGAGAAAGTAATTGGGAAGTGAGAACTGCCATGGTACAGTGAGTTATGAATATTCACTGTCATTATGAATTGTTTATAATACTAGGCTATATGGCATTGGAAGAAAAAGTTCTAAGACTCTGGAATTTAAAAGCTTTATCACAAGATTGTCAAATATTTAAATGGACTGACACTTCAGGTAGTGCAGCTATGACCCACTGTGAAAGAATTGTTTAACTACTGTTTACAACGGGGTGTCTTTATTTCCTATGGTTCAGATTTTTTTCTGTCTTTAAAGAGACTTGATATGTTACATGCATTTATTCCTTGCTGACAGCATACTTACTAAGCAATTCAAGCAAAGAGAGAAAAATTACACTTTCCCTCAATAACTTATTTTCAAGACAATTTAGCACAATAGAAACCTTCTTCTTAACTATGGTTATAGAGACTGAGGTATCATGAGTACATTACCTCTCAGTAGCACTAACAGAAACCTATACAGGTGCTGCAAAAATAAAAAGCTCAGCAAGAGAAGGAAAGTGAGAAACAGCTATTATTGAGCAAAAATGGTTAGCTTATTTTCAATCAAACATGAAAATATCAAGAAAAAAAATGGTATTTGAAGAGCAGATCTTTTCTGCTGTTTGTATGAAGGAAAATAAATATTTTTAAAAATATTTATTTATTTTTATTTTTTATCATTAATGACAAAAGTCAATGCTAACCTTCTCCAATCACGTATGGTATGACATGTTGGAAATATTAACCAAACAACATGTGAGTATCAGGGTTAATTGGGTCCAGTAGGGAATAAGATATTTGAAAAACATGATGTGTTCACTGAGCATGAAAGATACCTCAGACATGCTAACATTGGAAACCTTCACAATGATGTATACATTTGATGTTTTGCTACTGCTTACTGGGATAACTGAAATGTACTCAGCATTCTGGTGTCTTAAAGCACCACTCAAGCAAAGGCAGTATTTTTTTTTTCAAATATGTGCAAATCCTGTATTTGGCCACCTTAAAATAATGAGGAAATCTGAAATCTAGATTCCAAAATCTGCTCTTTTGATAGCTGGCTTCCCAACTGTCGGACATTTCCACATAAAGAATGGAGTCAGAAGACTTTTTTACTTTATGTTACATCAGTATACATACATATACCTGGATTTGTGGAAGGGATATAACATCTTCCTTCTGCAATTGGAATAAAGATTTCAAATGAGAGGAAAATGAGAATCCCACACGTTTCCTCCCCAAATCTTAGCCAGTTTGTCCGCAATGCTACTTTGTATTTAGTACCAGCAATAAATAACTGACATATTCTTTATCTGGGGGATTTCTTGATGTCAGATTTTACACTAATACATTTTCATGTTTTCTCTAGATAGGTCTCTTAGGTACTCTATATATTTCTTCATTTCAAAGACCTGGCAGCTTTGAAATTCTTTCATTCCAAATGCTTTAATTCCCTACCATTTCAATAATCAAGTTTTTCTTTGACAGGGTCATAGTTACTAGTTATTATTTAGTTGGACTTAACATGCCTTCTTAATTTAGTAATTTTTAATTTACAATTATTTCCTTTGAATAAATTCCCGCTATAAAATGGGAGTTCATTAGTTGATGAAAGAAAAATAATGGACCACAAGTATGATGACCAGACCTTAGCATATGTACTAAAAAAAATGAACAGAGAAAACCCCTCTCCAATCTCTCCAAACCTAAAATACCCTTACTGATCTATGCAACAGAATAGTTGGAACTTATGAAAAAATGAGTTTAAAAGAATGTTTGAGCTGTCATTTATTTAGCAGACAAGTGCAGATAAGTTCTTGAGAGGTATAACAAGCTATCACTCAACTCATCTGATAGGTGAAACTCAGATAGACTTATGAAATTATATTAACACTGGACATATGAAGTTCCATTTTACCTATTCAATTCTAAGCTACAAAGCAGTACACAAAAACAGTAACCTCATGGAAAGACACCAGAGAAACACGGTAAAAACTCCACTGCTGCTTTTTATAAACACTTTCCAAACCACGTGATTGGTGCAAATGGGTTGCAGTGTTGAAAGAGGTGATGCAGAGGTAATTCCGTGAGTATGGGACCAGTGCTCCCCAGAGCCTCACAGCTAGCTCTGATAGAGGAGGATCCCCTGCCTGGTGCCAGGGGATGCAATATTCAGCATGCAGGCCCTTCTCAGCCAAGACTGTTGGGATTTCTCTGGCACAATAAAAAGCTAAGAATCTTTCCCCTAATTACCGTTCCATAGAAATAACCTTTTGTTTTTTGATTTATATCCTTAAAAACATATTTTGTATGTTCAAAGTCTTACTTTGACATAATTCTGAAGAAGCTACTGATTTGAGGCATACCTGCATGTTTGATATGGATTCTTCCATATTTACATGACTTTTTAGAAAGCAGTATTGTCACCAAATGATTGTAAAATGAAAACAAAATCTTGAGCAACAAACACTTTTCACATGACTATTGATTCTGTATAAATGTCCATCTTCCAAGCAGAATACACTTTTTAATTCAGCACAGAAGCTTTTCACTCCAAGAAGAAAGGAGAACAGCTCCAAAACAATAATTTACTGCATTTACCTGGTTGGTAGAAGTTTGGTGAAAGTTCTCTGGCTACCGCTCTTGCAATATCACATTCCTGGCGAGCAGACTGAGCAGCCTGATCCGCAGCGTCAGCTTTAGCTCTTGCATGTGCAGTTCTGTACAGAGCAGAAAACAGTCATATGCAGAGGAGTCTTTTATGAATAGCATTACTAAAGTGAGAGCAACATACTGCTGTCCTTAGCTACAACACACTGCACTGTATAGTGCACTCTTGTGCCCATGAATGGCTACAAATCAGGCAAAGTATTTCAGAACCAACACACTTTTGTTCCTGGTTCTTCAGTCCTGCTCATCCTTGTATTACATTTACTTTGTTACACAATTTACACTCAGCTTTGCACAAAATTTCTTATTAGAAAAAAAATGGTATGTTTGAAACCTGAGATTCTGACCATTCAGTCAAATTTTCATAGACAGTATCGGAAATCAAAGTCCATGACTGGGCCACTACAATGATTCCTACACAGTGGTTGGTGAGACCAGGACACACAGAGGACAGTGAAATTAAACTTTACAACATGTCAAAGTTAGTGTTCAATGCTGGGTACTATATAAAGGTTTTGAATGGCCAAATTTAGATACATTGGTCCAAAAATATGAGAAATATGTCTTCTACAGTTCGACAGTATTGGAAGGGAGTGGGATGGAAAATACATGCCTGATGCTTCCAAGGCCTTTGAAATGGCGACACCTTTCAATACTTGTAACTCACTGAATTTCCATTCCAAAACATTCCGAAAAGGCAACTTTTCCTAAGTCCAGACAACACACTGAGATACTTTCACAAGGTAATCTGCCCTCTGCTTCTGCTTTCTCACTTTTGCTATTGCTGAGAGACTCAAGAACAGCCTCCGCCTTGCACTGTGCAACCAGCTGTTACCGCATGGCTGCATCACTGTTTGTCCCATCTTCCCTCCTCACTTCAATTTTTTAAATAGTCATCTGCTTAAAAATTCCTGATGGCATGATCTGTGTGCGGCTGTGCAGCACCAGCACACAGCCCAGAGCTGTCAAAGGGCTAGAACTGATGAGAAGCTAAACAGGGCAAAATGGCAGGGAACTTTTCAGAGCCTCCAGAGATACTCAGAGCATTTTAGAAATACATATATTAAACTTCATGACCTCAGGAATTTTCTCATATATTACAGCAGGAAACTGTCTCTTCAGTAAGAATAAATTAGGAGGACTTTAGCTGCACTTGCCTGGAAATACTAATCAACAAGGAATCAAATAAATAAAAACTAAAAACATTCAGTGATCACCATATAAAAATTCAGTCTTCTTTTCATGGAATAGAGAGATCGACATGCTTTAGAACAAGATAGAATTAAATGTTCGCATTAACCAGACTAAACACCAAGAGATTAACTGTATGGCAGACTTCACACTTCTAAAACGATTTTTAATCCCATAGGGTACCAGTGCAAACACAGACAGAAAAAAGCCACACAGACTGGTTCATCTATGAATGAACCAGCCTGGGGAAGATTTATTTAAGTTACACCCTCCCCAAAATGTGCGTCGGGAGACATGTTCAATGTTATTTCAAAACTCGGCTCGTCATAATTTACTGGATAATCATCAGCTCATGTTGCTTTCTCATCAGTCCCTCTTGGTTTCTGAGAAAGGAGATTATGATGAACAAATACGCAGTAACACCTTCCACTTGTACTCAAGATGGGGGAAAGAAAGCGTGAAATGAAATGAATGCACTTTATTATCCCATGTATGTTCTGTGTAACGTAATGTTCGTGAATGGTTGTACGATATGTGCTTGCTTAGTAGCAATAATCAAAACTGTTCTTTCTCTATAATCATTATTTTCAATTGGATGAGCTATTATTAGCTCCTGCATAATTATGTCAATGTAGCATGAGCTTAATGAAGCAATCGTAGTCCTGGGACATTGTTTTATGAGGCACTAATGTAGTCTGCACATAGATAAACTAGACGCTGATCATCCTTTTGTGATGATAGAACAACCAGACTATTCCCGTATAAAAATAGTCTAATACTATTGTCACAGCTGCAACAGACATTTTAAAAGCCAAGCAATACACTAAATGACCAGTGTCAGGAAAATGTACAGCCAGCGTTGTCCAGATATTTTGTCGATGCTCGTGAATGTTTTATATTGTTATATCCAGGAAGCAAATGACACATCCTGGCTAAACGTCCAGGATCAAAGGAGTGAAGGAATTAAATGATGCCATAAGCAATAAGCTAGTAAAACTTATCAGCGTGAGAGAGGGCCGAGAGGAGTCACAGCAGGAAGAAGCCGACAGAGCAGGAGGGAAACAAACACTTCACTTGCCTCTCTTATCTTACACCCTCTTGTATGTAATTGCCCTTCCTGCTATTCTGCCCCCTTTGTGCTTGCAGTCGGCTATTCCAACTGATTCGAACAGGATCAGGATGCGACGGGTACCCGGCCTGCCCCAGCACTACCCTGCTGGAGGAATATCTGGGGGATGGCACAGCACGAGCCACTGAACAGGGAGAAGGGACGAAGCCACAAGACCAGTGCTCATGTTCCTGAGCCCTCCAACCAGCCACCAGGAACGTGTGCCTCTGGCCTCTGTTGTGAGCACCATCAGTGACGCTTGGAAGACGTAACGGGAACAGTAGGAAGCAGCAGAACCAGCGCTTCTGCAGATAGCAGAGCTGTATGTGCCATCGGAAAAAAATGTGGCTCCTTATTTGCCCATCATAGCACTTGGATGCTTTATCAGCCAAGTTCTGCACTGTGTACTTTAGTGCTTTGATTTGTCACTATAAATACATACATTCTTTTCATTTCTTGCACACTTAAGTTTTCAGTTATCCTGTATCCCTTTATGTTATCCTCAATTCATTTCTCTGTTGCTAGTTAATTTTCAGAGAGATGTCAAAACAGGACAGTTCCCTCAAATATAATCCATTTGCTCCGTTTACTTCCAGTTATATCACTGGCAGGAATCAAGCTGTACCTCCATTGCAGAAAGAAACTGTTGCTTGAACCACAAGCACATATAGAGTGTTTGTACCAAGTGATGTAAGTAGAGTCCCTAAAATCTACCAGTGCATGTCATGAGTGAATGGGGGCTGGAAGAGCAATGGTTAACTGAGTAACTGCTGCTCAATCAGCATCTGATTTTGAAAGAAGCCTAAGCTTTCCAGACCGGGAAATGACAATTGATATCACTATGGGTATATATTTTTTGAGTGTTTGGTTCGGTCTTAGCTCGGCGACCTTAGCTACACCCACATGATTATAGGCACAGAGTCAGGGGCTTCTTGCGAGCAGCCTCCCCTTCCAGCAGTTCTACAATCAGATTTCCATCTGCTTAGTTTGAAAAGTGACTTGAAGGAGGAGTACTGAGGGCTGAAGAGCTTAAACAATATATATCTTTTGCCATTCTGTAGCAACAATGCATATATATAATACCACATGTCTTCAATGTGTTATGTAACATTCATCTATATTTAAACCCCATTTAAAATTGTCCATTATCCTCCAGATTATTTTGTATTTCCACGATATACTTCAACTTAATTATAATGCCTACTCATTCAGAGTCATTTGAAAATGTAAGCAACATATGCTTACTTTGTTCCATTATTTTTAGTTTCTATTAAGCCCATGGATTCCAGTATTAACCTTTTCAGTAGCTTGCTTAGTGCTTTTTAAAGTAATACAAATAGTTATGCCTCCTATTTGCCAAGCATATCTAAAAACAATTATGTTCCCAACCATTAAATTACATTAAACTAATAACCTGAATGTTACTTATTAACAGCTTTCTATATTGCCAAAAAATCAGTAAAGACTAAATCTGCAAAAAATTCTCAAAAACAAATTGAATTCATAAAAACTACTGGGTTCTCAGAGTAATACTGTATATCGTAGGTTGCTACCGTATCATCCTTTTTGAAATTAGAATTCTATAAGAACAAATACCATCTTCCTAAATTCTAAAATTCACTGACTTTTCTAGAAAGCCAAAAATATTTTCTTTATTTCTTTTCCCCAGGTATGATTTTTTCTAACAATTCTGCAGTTTAATTTTCTCCTCATTCGCCTTTTCTTTCCTGATTTTTCTGATACTACATATCTGTAATGAAGGCTAGGTAGATATCCAGCATCCATGAATTTTCTAACGTAGCATGTCAGGGACTGGCATTTGTTAAGCTTGCTAGTCATCTTGCTCATCCTCTTTGACTGATAAAACTGCCTGCAAAACAATGTGTGGTATGGTAGGGTTAAGAATACACATATGTAGAGCTTACGTAGGACCTCTAGACCTTTGTGGCTCAGTGCTGTGATTGGAAGGGAGGCCAGGCCCCTGCCGGCTGTCCACCTCTGCCTTCCAATGGGTGTCTTGGAAGAGCAAGAGAAAAGGGGATACTTGAGGATACCACAGTATGAGACCTTCATGTCAGTGAAAATCTTGAAGTGCTTCTAAGTTACACATTGAATTGGCCAGATGAGGAATATGTCTTCAAACAAGACAGTCTGAACTTACTTAAAGCTTGAAAGCTTTAGTCTGTCAATCTTGTTGGTGCCTTTTACTTTCACTCAGCTGTTCCTTCTCCATGAATTCACTTCACTGAAGAACTGGATCAGCTTGGTAGCACCTGTACTGTCTCAGGTAATGAAGTATAAACAGAGCCATTCTGGACACATTGCTGGCACATTAATCCATGCCAGCTTGCCTAATGGATTTTATTTTCCCAAACTCCTCTTTTGAAGCTTAAATCAGAAAAAAAAATGCTAGCCTTTATTTAATAACTCATGAACAACTGAGGAATTCCCACAGAATTGTCACATAGCCAACTTTATTTCCATATTTGGAAAGATAACCTAGAGGTAATGGCTGGTCAGCCAGATGTCTTAGCATAAATAAAGTGGGTCTACATCCATAAAGATTTATAGGCTACTAGTACAGCGCCAGACATAATGCTTTCATTTAGCCAAAAACGTCATACATTTGTAAGAATTACAGGCCTTATATTGTATCAAGATTATCTTGATTTAATATATTTGGATTTTATTTTGAGGTTTCTGACTTTGTAGCCCACAGCAACATAATTAAACAACACCATAAATTACACA